CGAAGAGAAGAGAGGAGAAGGCATCTGATATGTGGGATAATGAAGTTGAACTAATATTTTGTGACATCTGCCCTAAGAAGATGGAAACACGAAATAGGCCTACAACTTATTTTACAAGGAGGGCTGGTAAAATATTATGAAATAGTTCAAGGAAAATACGTAAAAGGAATATGATATGATGTAATTGAAAAATAAGTGGGATCAATTAAACAAAGACTGAAAATTTTGGACGAAATTGAAACGAGGATCCATGAAATTGGGTTAGGATCCAACAAAGCGGACAATTGATGCTTCAGAAAAATTGTGAGATGAGAGATTTGAGATAAAAATAGATCAAACCTAGATAATATGTTTTTTTTTACCTGAAATATATAAACATATCCAACCATCAAGTTGCAGGTGGTGCCAACTCCAAAAAAATTCAAATTTAATTGCATTAACCCTGAGCTAGAAGAGAAGTTGGACTGTATGTTTAGTGGAGTCGTGGCAATGAGCGATTATGCATAAACCCCTAGTGAGCGAATGTTTGTGGGCATAACTGAGAATTTGGATGTTAAACAAACAACTAACTCCAACGAAGGGCCCAACCCAAACCTAAATAAAGTTGAATCCACTAGACGATCAAAGCGTCCAAAATTGAGAAAAAGAAAAAAATGGGTTGTTTTCATCATAAGCCAAATCATACAATTAGTGGCTTCATGCAACAATGACCCTAGGACAACACAAGCAAATGTCATCAGCAAGGAATGCGAATTCTGGAGGCAACTCTAGAAATTTATAACATAACGTTATATTTGTTCACCATGAAGTTGTTGGACCCAACCCGTGGATAGTTCTTTATGACGATGACCCATGACTATAGGGTCAATTATTTGCGTATTTTTATGACAGCAATGACGCTTGAATTCCATTATTTCTCATTGGACTATTTGTATTTGTTTTACATTAAGAGAATTTGGTTCTTTTTCTTTGGATTGTTCTTTTTCTATGGGACAGTTAATCTTGCGTTGAATGTTTGTTTTATCATCACAAACTTTCTTATTTGGTTTTCTGAGTTCATTTTTTATTATTGCTTTACTAGGGAATAGTGTGATAGTGGCCAATTCGGTGATTATTATGTGTTACATGAATAAAGCGCTTGTCAAACATGGATTCACATAGACAAACACAGAAGGAGAATTGCAGCTAGGGTGTGTTCCCCTCTTTTTTCAGTGCTATGTTTTTTTTGAGACTCTACAGGATGTTTTTTTTAGTGGCATTCATATATAACACATATGAGCTCGGCATTACGTGGTTTGACGACAACAAAGAACTTCTTTTAAGAGGTCTGTTGTCTTTTTGTAGTGACAGATTCATTGGTTTATGATAAGTTCTCTAGGACCTTAGAGTTTAATAAAACTTGCATTGGTTAAGTATACTATTTTTTCTGCTAATACTGCATGTAACGATTTGTGCTTTGTTGTTTTAAATCTTCAAAAAAGATGAGCTTGAAGACTTCTGGTACTTCCAGAGGATTGTACTGCTACTATGGGCTAATCATGCTCCTTGATTACTTCGTGACAATTGCAGCTACGGGAGAATTTTATAAGTGTCTGAGGAGAAGACAAGAAAGCTATGACTCCCTTAGGTAAACAGATGGGTGGAGGAATTGACAGTCGATAGTGATCAAGGTGTGGCAAGTTTCCTTGGAAGACGGCTTATCTCGTGACATAAGTCAAGTGCATTTTAAAAATAATGAAATCACAATATTAATTGTAATTGTAATAGTTTATTTGTAAAATGTTGATTATCGTGTAACACTAAATAGAACGCAATGGAAAAAAAGGATTCATGTAGTCGACCCCACGTAGTGGGATTAAGGGTGGTTTGTTGTTGTTATTGTGTTATAGTGTTGTGAGGTGTCTGATTTTGTTTTGTAATATTCAAACTACATTTTGACAAATTTTGCTTTTATTAATTTTCTAATATAAACAGTTCTGTTATAAACAACACTATAGCACAGAGCAAAAAAATCATTTATTCAGAAACAACATCCTCTAAAAAATAAACAGACAATCGGTTACTCCCCAACAGCTTCCTATCATAGTTATCGTGTATTAGCTTTTTAAAAAGTTGTAACTGCCCCAAACATACCCTACAATTCACACGCTGAAAGAGACATAACAACAAACAAGACACAAACTCACAATAGAGCTTGATCCATAGGTGGCGGAGCTCGGCTAGGTGGTTGTGGAGCAGAGATAGATGGTTGAATTACGTTGGAAATTGGAACAACAAAAAAGGGGATAGAATTGTGTTGGCAGCGATACCGAGGGCTAGGAGAGCGACAACAACAAGTGGAGCAGCGAGGCACGGTGGGAACGGCTGAAATGGCCAAAAAACAGCAGGTGTGTTGTTTCCAGGCTGACAACTTTACTGATAGTTGGACAACAATCGAAACAGCGAGACGAGGGAGGGAATAGTGGCAACACCGAAGGTGGAGTGGCTGGAACTGCGATGGCAACGAAGAGAAGAGAGGAGAAGGCGATTGCAATGGCTAGAACTGCAGAAAACAACAATTGAAATGCTATTACGAGTAGTTGTCAGCTGCAGCGAGATACAGTCACCAGGAGCGATGTGGGAGGATATGGAAGGGGATAGTGAAGACAATCACCACATTGGGAGAAATACAGTCATAGCGCTACTTAATCCCACGGATATAACCCTTGAAGGAAGAAATAGACGTCGACAGCTGTTCTAAACAAACTTCCACTAAAAACTAAACCCAGAACATCATGAAGACAAATATACAATAAGAGGATAAATAAGAGTGGTCGAAGATGACCAACCGACTCCTTAGAAGGGACAAAACTAGACTGGTTATGTCTGGGCAAAAGAATGAGTTGCGCGGAACAAACGCGTGTGCCACTTGTCTCGCCCGAACGGGCTTAGGCACCCCGCGCAGATCATGGCGAACCCATGCCACCAGCTAGATAAACTGTGGTTCTACATTTGATTTTCTTTATCAATTTTTAAAAAATTATGTATAAACATTGCATTACTTTTTATACTTTTTTATTAACTTTCATCTCCCTAGTAAAACCAATAAATTGATCATATCAATGGATGTGAACTTTTCAAACTTTGTTCCATACTTCCAACACTCTTCCACAACTCTATCATATGACTATTGATTTCCAAAAAATTATCACAATTTTGGATATTGTCTTATTCCTAAAATAAAAAATTAAAGATGTTCTTTGTCCAATCATTCAAAAATATTGTCTTCATAATTTCAACGAAATATATTATTGTAGCACCCAGTTTTGACCACTTGAAGTAAAATTTTGATTATTTTAAAATATATCAAACTTTTTGCAGCACCCGAAATGCATCCAAAATATTTTCATAAAATTCTACATTTTGTAACGATCAAAATGAAATATAACACAATATATAATACAATGAAGGGCAGATAAACTTAAATTCAAATTAATAAAAAAGAAAAAGATAACAAAGTTAAAACGTATAATAATTGTTCAAAATGATTAGCAATGAATAAGGTTAACGCCTCAATTAACCGCAACAAATAAAAAATGATGATTCATAAAATTAACCCAAACTAGTTTGTGGTAAAAGTAGCAATGATGATCTGAGTAAAGTTATTAGAAATGTTTATAACAAAAGACGTACCATTACACATTTGCAAAAATGACAAGTACTCAGATTGGCTATTCGAAAAAGTAATCTCTAACATTATCAATAAAGATTATTTAAGTTCCCAAAAATTGTACTCAAACTAGCAGCTGATCTTTATACATATAAAAAAATAATTATCACAAGGATTAAAGCATTAAATTTAAACAGAAGGTACAGATTGATACTAGAACTAAACAAATAAAATTTCAGGGATATTAACAACTGCAGCAAATTACCTTCAAATACATTAGGTTCCTATAGAGCTCAGAATCCAGAGTTGAAAGTTCGTCCAGAAAGCTGTACTGCCCTAAGAGCTTTTGTACAAAGACAAGTGAGAAAGTGTAGTCCAGTAAAATACCCTCGTAAAGAGCTTTTCCAACAACTCTTCCAAGGAATTCGAACATCTCCATTCCATTGTCTAATAATCTAGAAGATATGTTAGGAACTAGGTTGCCATCAGTTGTAGAGGTCTCGCAAAAGAGCCCAAACCTGAGATAAGGAATCCTGCACATGATATAATAAGCTGCTTAAATAAGATTCAATATCAACTACAGGAAACTCACCGTGGGTCAAAGGCAGCTTTGGACAAATCAGTTAAGAATTCTTTCGACAAACCACCATAGTCAAGACCAGCCTCTGGGAGGCCGCATTCACTGACAAATGACACAATGATGCCAGATTTCAGTTTTGATCCTAAAGAGTTCAACTGCCTAAACCCATCATCAACAATATGATCCCGTCGAACAACAATCTCAACTGAGCCAATACCATTAGCAGATACCTCACCGGCTGCTCTTCTAGCTAGTTTGTCCATTTTAACAAATTCCCTAAACATTTGAACCCTGCAAAATTTGTTTGATTATAAACTCTCAAAAAAGAATTGAAATAGTCGATGCATATCAAATTAGGGTAAAAGGAAAAGAAGGCTCCTTAAATGATTCAGGTTTAAATGGCTGAAGCAATAAAGCAGTCTTGATGCAGATACTAACTAAACCCATAGTTATATACGGGATAAGATCCTCAAGAAAATTGGCTAATGTTTGGTATTCATTCAATTAACTAAAAAACGTCCACATTATAAAATGAAAAGAATGAGATGCTCAGAATTTAGATAACACTAAATGTAATGCCCAAAATTTGAGAGTCAACTTTGATAAATTTTAAAAGTGCCCGAAATTTCACACCCCTCAGAAGTCAATTAATTTTTTTTATAAAAATCTACGCATGAAATCGATCAATTCAATCTAAAGCACTATATATGAATTATGCCTAAATTGGAAGATATAAAATTTGAAAGTTATAAGTTTACTTTAAGTTAACTAATCCTAATTTTATCCTAATCTTTGTCTCGTCACTGCAGTTGACCGACACTCACTCACTTTTCTCAGCATGCAATGGTGTGATTTAATCAAACAATAGGCTAAGATAAAATGTTGTGATTCCTTCCCTCTCCCTATCTTGATTTCGCTCGGCAGAAGAGATCCCGCGATCCTGCATTGTAGTAGGCGGGAACTGGTGAGAAGCTCAGAGACAAAAGGTGCGATCCAGAGACTCTGCGGAGGTAATAGTGAGCAAGAAATCCTCTTTTATGGTATTTCAAACATTCTTTTCCTTCGTCACACATTCGTTTTGATGTTTGCCTCGATTTTGTGCACTTCTTTTGTTTTCGGTCACTATAGAGGAGACAGGCCTATGTCGGAAGCGTCAAACTCAGTTTTGAGCTTCTATAAGGGTTGGTAGCACGAAATCGACAAGGAGAAGAAAGGACTGAGGGGTTAGGAAGAAGAGGGAAGGAAGAATAGGTTGGATTGGTGACGAGACGGTTATGCCAAAAAACCTGTTTGAGGTATGTTTTGGCAAATAAATTTTCAATTAAGTAGCAAAACGAACTATAATTCCATGAATTCCTACAATGTGTACGATTTCCAAGTTGTTTACACGAGGCGGCGAGCTCGAGATGAGTGTGTGAAAACGTCGTAGGACTCCTTCGTCTAGTCAGATGAAATAATCTAATGCAAACTTAAGAAAAAATAATTATCTATAGGTTTTCATGTGATTCCTTGTTTGGCACTGATGCACTTAGAATTTCTTGCATATTGTGGATAAATATTTGCATTGAATGTATGAATGCAAGTTGATTTCTCTTACGATACATGTGATGTATGATATGCTATAATATAGATGAATATACTTAAAAAATCATTGCTTGCAAATTTTTATTTGTTATGATTCATGCATGATATATGAAATATCTGTGTGAATGATTGAAACAAGAATGATGATTTAAATGTCACAAGTGATATTCTAGGTAAACTATTACATAAGTGTTTGCAAGTACATTATGCACGGATGCGGTATTCTCAGCTCCTGATATTCAAGCAGAGACAAAATTTTGAGAATTGTTGAGATCAGATAGTGATAGAATGTAGGAAACCGTTGGTATCTGAATAATTATGCATAACTGTTATGTTAAAGAGGCTCAACCTTCATTAGTAGTTAATATGACCTTTGGGACAGGATGACAACTCATGATACGGTAGGATATGAAAATAGTTGAGATCTATAGATTGACAAGTGACATTGCTATGAATAGGTTATGATTCTTATGAACATGTTCATGATTGCATGTTGATGACTACACATGAATAAATGACATACATATTTCATACAGTAGTCACTATTTTATACACTACAGGTTTTTCTTTTACATGTGTTATACGATTCTAACGTGTTATGACTTAACAGTGGACATGTACAGTTAAGAGCATGCGCTTCGTTTCTCTTTCATGTATAAAATTTTATTTTAATCTTGATTATTTCACTGGGTTCGTTGTTATTCACTCTACGTTGTTTAATTTTAGGAAGGGATAAGAAGCACCCAAGCGAGTAGTAAGGTGTGATTTCTATAGCTTTTGCATTATAATTTTGGAAGCATGTACAGCTTTTTAGATATGTATTTTATTTATCATAGATTTAGCAGCTCTGTATAGTTTATATGTTGATGATGTGATTTTTCAAGCTTCCAAGTATATGTGAAAATTAATATAATGAAATGTATCGAACATGTTTATGGCGACTTAGTCAGACTAGTTTATCACCCATTGGGTCTTGATTCCACAAGTCAAATGAGTGTCGATGAAAATTCAGTCCAATCGAATTATCTGTCTCTATAGCAACTCAACTGACCCTTAAAGAGGGGTCAGTTGAGGTGTGAGACTACATATAGATTTCACCCTCATTTGTGAGGGCTTTAAATTTTGATTCTAGAATTTCCAAGCCCCTATAGTTATATACCATAGCAGTGGTGAGAGAGAGTTAAGGAATTGCTAAGCCCTAAGTTTTTATTGCATAGTATCAACAATTTTGATTTTAAATCAAGAAAATTCATAGTCAACTTAGAGTTGATAGTAGAGAAAATGATGATAAATTTGATCAGGATCTCATGATTATATCGTCTCAGCATATCACAAATTCTTGTTTAATAATAAGTGGAGGTAGTTGATATGAGCTCAGTAGCTCGACATGATCAAATGTGACGTTGGAGATGGATAATAGATTCAACGTTGTATAAGAAAAATTTAAGGTATGCCAATCATACCTAAAATCATTCAAATGATTCTCTCTTCACAAAACAACCCATGTCAATGCACCAAAAATATGTAAAAATAACCTTGATCAATTCAATTAATGCAAAATTGACAGACGACGAATGCAACAATGTATAAACAAAGTTAAAATTTCTTTACACAGTTGAAGCCACTCAGATCTTACCCATTCGAAAAATGGGCTGCATCAATGAATCCTAAACTCTGAAATTGCCTACATAGGCACTCATAACCTTCGACACCCATATAAAACTAATTAGCAAAAATTAGTCCTAAAGCTAATATCCTCGCTCCTAAATAGTATCTAAATTTCTTATACATCAATACTTTTCTCAAGGATCCAGGAGGAATCCTTTCAAATTCAAGAGTACATCTTTCAATTCCAAAGTCATCACAATAGACTACTAAGATTTGGAATAGAGTTGTGTTAAGAATTGGAATAGAGCAGCGCAATACTATTTATAGAATGAGATGCATTCAAACCCAATTACAATTGACAAGAAAGAAATAAAACAAAAAAAATGAGCAGCGCAATACTATTTATAGAATGAGATGCATTTAAACCCAATTACAATTGACAAGAAATATTCTTGAATACATAAGATATTAATTTTCCTATGAAATAAAACAAAAAAAAAAATAGGAAAGAAATAAAACAGAATAAAATAAATAGAAAATACATAATGAGGAAATAAAATCTAATAAAAAATAATAACGGCTAGAGATTGTCTTTATAAATATAATACTTCCCTCAAGTTGAAGCATATATGCCAGTAATGTTCAACTCGAATTTGAAATCATCGAACAAAGCAAAAGAAGATTCTTGGTGAAGATATCCGCTAGTTGGCCACTGGAGGGCACAAAAGGAATGCAAATTTTCCCGGACTCAATCTAAATATAATACTTCCCTCAAGTTGAAGCATATATGTCAGTAATGTTCAACTCGAATTTGAAATCATGGAACAAAGCAAAAGAAGATTCTTGGTGAAGAGATATCCGCTAGTTGGCCACTGGAGGGCACAAAAAGAATGCAAATTTTCCCGGACTCAAATCTTTTTTTTTAATGAAATGGTTATCAATCTTAATTTGTTTGGTACGATCATGTTGGACTGGATTGTAAGCAATGTTAATGACAACCTTATTATCACAAAATAGTTGCAGCGGACGGAGTTTGACATACGAAGTTCGCAGAGCATGATACGTAACCAGAGAGAATCACAGATTCCCAAATACATGGAACAGAATTCAGCTTTAGCACAACTCCAGGCAACCACGGACCATTTTTTGTTTTTCCACGTGACAATTTTCCTATATAAATGAGCAATACCCAAGGTGAAGCATTGATCGTGAACTGATTAGGCCCAATCAACATCTAAAAAAACAACAACAGACCGAGATGTGTGATAAGAGAAAAATAAAACTGAGTCATGTATGAATTATCTCAACAGAGTCATGCAAGAAAGAACAGACCGAGAAGTGTACCAATGAAATAATGGAGAATCTGGTAGAAAGCTTGGAGAAGATACTCATATGGTCATGCATGAATTGACTCACTATACCAATTACATGGCATATGATGGGCAAAGTGTGGGCTATGAAGATGAGTTTTCCCACAGTGCGCTAATAATGATTATTGTTGGCAAGCACGACATTAAGAATGTTAGATAATTTTTCATTGGGATTCATAAAAACAACAACAGGTATGCATAAAGGTTGCTCTCTGTCAAAAGATCAATAACATATTTGTATTGAGACAGAAAAATACCCAAAGATGACCGAGTCACTTTCAGGCCTAAGAAATACTAAAGATATCTCAAGTCTTTCATCTCGATAGACGAAGCAAAAATATTTTTTAAGGACTCTAATGCTGGGAGATTGTATCTTGTAAGAGCAATATCATCAAGATGGACAATACGGATAACTACTTGGCCATTGGAAGACTGTCGAAAGAAAAGGGTGTGATCTGAATGAGCTTGTGTAAAAATATGGCCCATGACCACCTTTGTGAACTTGCCAAACCAGGCCCTTGGGGACTGCTTTAGCCCATAAAGGGACTTTTGTAGCATGCACACTTGCCTTCTGAAGACAGTAAAATTAAAGTCAGGAGAGAGAGAAAGAGACATGTACATCTCTTCTGTAAGCTCTTCATTCAAGAACGCATTATTCACATCTACTAGAATAACGGTCAATCCAAATTCACCACAAGGGACAACAGGATCTGAATAGTGCTTACTTTA